GTTCAATAGAACTACTATTTTTAATTTTCTTTTGATGGTAATTTCTTTTTTATCATTCTCTGTTTTTTTACTTATTATACAAACTTTGAATACCTAGGCATATATTGATAATAGTGTCAATGCCTGCTCTATACAGGGTGCTACAAATTTGAGGTACGAGCATTGGTATCTCGGTAACCGTAATAGATACGGACATGGTTAAATTGGGGCAAAGTTGCGCTTTGTGATGTTCACCAAGATGCCATCAAAAAAGTTTTAAAAATGTCAAGAGTTGCTGAGTTTTTTTGGAAAAAACGGATTTTTTTGAAAATCAATTTTATTTTTTTCTGTCGTTACTTTTAAGAAAATCAAAAAACTAATTGCATATTCTCATAGCCACTTTATTAGGGCTACCTGATAGTATTTTTAGATTTACAAATTAGCTGATAATTTGTGAGATACAGAGGCCAACCTAATTTTTTTAAATACGTACCTGCATTTTTTATTGTCGGTTTTGAATGAACTCGGTCTCCTGAGTACAACGATATGCCACACTTTATACTTTTTTTTGTTTTGGGTACCTTAACAACAAACAAATTATTTAATTATTATTTAAAATAATTTCAAGTCTGACTCTGTTTTTTTTTAATTATTTAATCTGATTATATTCATCGCAACAATATTGATCAGCGCTAATTAACACTGAATAAGGAAAATCGAGCCATTTGGAAGATTCAAATAAACTATATCCAGGTCAGCAATTTAAAGATTTTTAATTTTTTTATTGTGAATTTGAAATCTCAGTGTGCGATCTAATAATATGTGTAATATTCACCGTAGTTATTATAAATAAATAAACTTAACTACTATAACTATAAATAAACTAAACTACAAACTAGTTTCTAATGCTCTACGAAAGGGTTACCACCCTCCCTATTGCACAAATTTATTTTTCATTCAATTTTATTTACAGCTCTTTGAACTTTCTTCTTATTCTTCCGAAAGCATTTTGTACTCTTTATTGTAAATGTTGAGATGTATTGATTTCACTGTTACACATAATGATGGGAAGTAATGTATTCATTTGTATATTATTTTTTATTATTTTATTGCATTTGATTTTCAATATTCAATGTTTTACCTCACGTCATTCTTAAGTTTGAAAGCTTATCAATATTGTAACGATGAATAGATTAAATATTTAAAAAAAAACAGAGCCGGACTTGGAATTAGTTTAAATAAGTTGTGTTCAAATGTCCGAAACAAAAAAGAAAATCAAGTGTGGCATATCATTGTACTCAGGAGACCGAGTTCTTTCAAAATCTGTAATAAAAAATGCAGGTCCGTATTTAAAAAAATTAAGTTGGCCTCTGTATCTCACAAATTATCAGCTAATATGAAAATCTAAAAATACTATCAGATAGCCCTAATAAAATGGCTATGAGAATGTGCAATTAGTTTTTTGGTTTTCTTAAAAGTAACAACAGGAAAAATTAAAGTTCGTTTTCAAAAAATCCGTTTTTTCCAAAAAACTCAGCAATCCTTGAAATTTTTTAAATTTTTTTGATAGCATCTTGGTGAACATCCCAAAGCGCAACTTTGCCCCGATTTAACCATGTTCGTATCTATTACGGTTACCGAAATACCAATGCTCGTACCTCGAATTTGTAACACCCTGTACAGGTAAATTAATATTTTAATTAAGTAAGTAAGGCAACTGTACAGACTGAAATTCCAATCCGTTATTCTTGGGTCAGTAGCTAGACACACGTGCCGCTGAGTTACGTCCAGCCACCGAGGCCTCAGAGGTCAGGGGTATATGTGAAAGCGAATGACACATGAACTCTCAAGAATATGCGAATATATCCAATTGTGTGTAGAATAATCTATAGTGAAGAATTTCTAATGGAACACACTGTATATTTTACGAGAATCAGATTCACTATTTAATTGCCTATCAAATTGTATTATACTATTTTTTACCTATATCTTCCAGTTTTTGCAGAAAATGCATTTTCTTATAATTTAGACCTCATTTGTAAAAATATACCCATGGAATATTGACATTTTAGATTATTTTTAAAGGTGTAACAAATTTTACAAGAGTACAGATACTAACATTTTCGATTTAGTTTGGTTAGGTTTATTTCATTAAAAAATAAAAAAAAGTGTTTAAATATTTGTAAAAGAAGACTAAATAATATGATCCCAGTATTCGAACTATATTAATTGATTGTCTCCGTTGATTAATAATTGCTCCAAATACTAAAAAACTGAATTATTAGACAGTGTGGTAAAAAGTAACAACTTATACATCTTATTTCATTTTTTGACGAATGCTTATTTATAACAACAGAGACGTTCATATTCATAACTTATTATCATATTGATTTCTGATTCAATTCCACATTTACTTACAATAATTTATTAACTAACACAATTAAGTATGTAATTAATTAATATTTGGACTAGACTGGATGGACTTGGATTAGAACCTGTATAATTTTGTACGCTTGTTGCTTTAAAAAAATCTAAAATGTCAATATTCCATGGTTATCTTGATAAATGAGGTATAAATTATAAGAAAATGCATTTTCGACGAAAACTTGAAGATATAGGTAAAAAAATGGTAGAATACAATTTGATAGATAATAATTAAATTCACGTAAAATATACAGGGTGTTCCATTTAAATTAAACAAGTTATTGCCGTTTAAAGCTAGTAATTATTAATTTAATATATACTTTTACACACTCTGTATAAGGTAGTATAATTTTTATTATTGCAACACAAAATCTAGTAAATAGAAAAAATTCAGTACAATGTTTGATTTTAAAAACGTAAATACGCCTAGAGAAATGAAGCATTAAAAATGTTAGTGCATTTTCGCAAAATCGTAAATATTTCAAAAACGGTAAGATTAAAGTGCGGTAAACCTTAATCAAATTTACCTTTATTTTAATCGTAGAAACTGAAAATGTAATAATATACAGGGTGTTCCATTTAAAAAATACAAGTTTGATATTTTTTTATTTATTTGGGACACTCCGTACCTTTTGAAAATAATTTTAAATTGTAGCTTTGGTAGTCCTCCAACGATCCCATCACTCACAATTTTTAAAAATCGAATCATGTGGCTACAGTACTCCGTGTCGAACGAGGTGAATGACCCTGTATAAGTTTTTAATTCGTAAATACAGGATGACACAAAACTGTTTGTATCTATATAGAATTTTAACCAAAAAGTAAATATTTCTGATAAAATTAATTTGAATCCTACTATCTTCTAAAATGCCTTTGAAATGCTTTGACAAAGAAAATACATAGATGAAAGCCAGGCGCATTTTGTGTATCGCTGAAGAGCACTAGAGCATTAATAATAAGCCTTATTGTTTACGAATTCATTTTATTTTCCATTTCGTTTAGTCCAATTACCAACAAACTCCTGTGTGTTTTTAGTAGCATTAAACTTACTCTAACTACTATATTCCGTAGTTTTTAGAAGTATTAAGTCAGAGACTATGAACTTCTCTCTCTTTGTTAAAACCTTCTGTTGTTCTAATTAATCATGAGTTATATTTTTAATTAAATGTAAACCTTTTAGGATTTGTAGAAACAAGAATAACTTTCAGTAAAAAAAAAAACAAAATAATTATACAGGGTGTCTAAAAAAAAACACGTGCCATCTGTGGGGCGATTCCTCACGTAAAAATAAGATTTATTTTTCATATTAACATAGGTCCGATTCAGCTTTATTTCGTAGCTACAGGATGTTAAAATTGTTAAAGTCTTAATAATCTTTCGATTTATTTTAATTTTTAAAATATATTAAGATTTTAACACCCTGTAGCTACGAAACGAAGGAGAATCGGACCTATGTTGATATGAAAAATAAATATTATTTTTACGTGAGGAATCTCTCCACGAGAGGTGGCACATGTTTTTTGAAACACCCTGTATATCGAGTAGTTGGACATTTAGAGGCATGGAATTAATTTTAGAGTTGTTACCAAAGTGTCAACAATTTTACAAAAATAGTAATTATTTCGGGTACTTAACGCCATAATACAGGGTGTCCCAGAAATAAGTGCAAGTATTTTAACTCGTAGTATAGTTCAACCCCAGAAACACGCCTATGAGTTTTTTTTCAAGAAAAAAAAATTGAAAATTCGGAATTTTTTGAAAAAATTTTTGGATTTTTTTTTAGTTTTTAGTTAAAACCAAGGTTAAAACCATAATTTCTTGATAATACAGCAACATAGGTGGTAGATTAAATTTACAAGAAAGAAAATCCAGAAAAGATCCAGCGGTTCTGAAAATTTTAACAATTTTTTTTTTGAAATTTTCAAATTATAATAACTCTTGGATTGGACTTATTTGAAAAACGATAAAGAGAAAATATGTTTCTTTTATCGAGATCTACCACCCCTTAAAATACTTGCACACATTTCTGGGACACCCTGTATATATGAATATAATAACACCATAAAAACATTTAATGTCATGATCGAAAAAAAAAGCGTCCAGTTGGCTTGGAAATGAGGATCGATGACATTCCCCACATAATTTTTCATATAAATTGGCACGATCTTCATTTCATAGCCATCGCTGACGCCGTTTTTCCGATCATATTTTGTTTAAAACTAATATCAAAAAATAAAAAAAATCACTCAAAAACAATATGTACTTAAAAATGTCAATCATGCAATTTGTTCATATATTAAAAATGACATAAATAAATAGAAAAATAATTGGCACACTATCATTTTAAAAAATCAAATTGAAGACAAAAATAAGATTTAGCTACTTTTATGTGTATGTACTATATTAATGTTGCAAAACAAATTTTATGAACATCACAAGGCAATGTGAAAAATTACAATTCAGTGATTTCAATGGAATAACACAGCAAACCATCGCAAAAATATTGTAAAACTCTAGTCTACAAGTGCGTGAATAAAAAAAAATTATGAACACAATCGTGATAAGAAAAATGCATTCAAGACATGTAAATTTCTTACAGGTTGCTATGAAATTATAGTTCTTTTTGCCATGACGTTCGCCAGATGTCCTCAGTCGTATTAATTTCGCAGCTATACTGCGAGCATTGCGGAATTCTAGGAATTGTTAAACAATAATTATTGTTTAATAAAAAATCTTACTAATTTTGTAAATTACAAAACTATATTCTATCTAGTTAGAAATAAAGATTTATACCTAAATATCAATTTTTTAATGATGTGTTTCCATAGCGCAGTTAATTTTCTAGTCACTACTTATATTGTCAATTATAATCATCTAAACTGCGCGTCAAATTAAATACCACAACGATTTTTTTACTCATTTTCAACGAATTGAAACTTTGAAAAAATGGACCAATTTTGTTGATTTTTTTAGCATATTAAAGATCATTTTTCGTAGATTGATCTGATTTTTCTAAATTTTGTATGAGATTTAGTTTTCTATGATATCGTCTAAGTCCGTACGTCGCGTACGACGTGTAGTGGCTCTGGTTCTGGCTCTAAGGACCTGACGGCCGCACGCACCGCCCGTCTCCAATTTTCTCTGTTTTCAGTTCTTCGACCGGCACCCTCCAGGTTGATATTCATAAGTTTTTCAACCATGTCCACCCACCTGGTTGGCGATCTTCCTCGGCGACGGGATCCTGCAGGTCTTCCCTGCACTACAAGTCTCTCCATATGCCCGCTCCTGTTGACGTGACCGAAGAAGGAAAGGATGCGTTTATAGACAGTGCTGGAAAGTCTTTGTGGTAATTGGATTGCATTAAGGACCGACACATTGGTGCGATGTGCTGTCCATGGTATTCGCAACATCCCCCTCCAGCACCACATCTCGAAGGCGTCAATGCGTCGTCTGTCGGCTGCCAACAATGTCTATGTCTCAGAAGCATAAAGCATAACCGGAAAGACAAGACTATTTACAAGATTGATTTTTGTCGATTGTGTTATGTGACTATTCGACCAAACTTTCGTGAGCTGCGTCATAGCGTTACGGCCCAGTTGAATTCTGCGGCGTATTTCCATTTCGCAACTACCGGTATTAGATATAAATGCACCTAAATAAATAAATTGTTGCACAACTTCGCAGCGATCTATGTTTGTGATGTCTGGGCAGTTGTTGTTTTCGCGATCTACGATCATCACCTTAGTCTTTCTGTAATTGATGCGAAGGCCGAACTCTCTACTGGTAGTTTCCAATCTTGTTAGAATTGTCCTCAGTTCCAGCTGGTTGGCGGTTACCAATACCGTGTCATCAGCAAAACGTAGGTTTGATATCGTGTAGCCATTCAATGATACACCCCCTGTCCATTTTTCTAGCACAATCCTCATAATGTATTCTTTCTATGATATACGGGGTGTGAAAAAAAAGAATGTATTTTTTGAAATTTTTTTGTTGCTGCCATTTTGCCCCAAAAAAATTAACTAGAATTATAAGTTCTGGGTATAGCTAAGACTAAACGACTAAACTAACTAACTAATATCTCGGGACGTATTTGGAATTTTTACGATAACTCTATTTTTTCTACCTTTCTTATGAGGTATGCTAACAAAACTGAAATTAACTTTAAAATTGTAGGATACTTGTTACTTTTACAATATGAAATTTAAAAAAAATGATTTAACTAACACAGTTTAATACAGGATCTCTTAAAAATACGACCAGCGAAAAAGTAAAATTATTTTTTAATATTCTGAACTTAACAGCCCATAAGGTTAATATAAAAGCTCGACACGTATTTGATATTTTTGTAAAAACTCTTTATGTGTCTAAAAATCTGTAGTTTAGCTGCAACTTAAAGTGCTTAAAAAAATACATAAAATTATTCAATATTATGGTTTTTAAAGTTAAAATCGCGTAGGCGAAGGTAGAAAAAATACAAGTTAGTAAAAATTGATTATCTTTTATTCCAGATGAGTTGAGTTATCTTAAAAATTCCAAATACGTCCCGAGATATTTGTCTTAGCTATACCCAGAACTTATAATTCTAGTTAATTTTTTTTTTGGCAAGATGGCAGCAACACAAAAATTACATTCCTTTTTTTCACACCCTGTATATCATAGAAAACTAAATCTCATACAAAATTTAGAAAAAATCAGATCGATCTACGAACAACGATCTTTAATATGTTAAAAAAATCAACAAAATTGGTTCATTTTTTTTTCAAAGTTACAACTCGTTGAAAATGGGTAAAAAATCGCTGTGGTATTTAATTTGACGGGCAGTTTAGTTCCTTTATTTTTTTTTATAAAATAACTCCTATCTCCCTTACTTATTTGATATTCAAATTCGGATCAAAACTCATTTAGTGACAGTTAAAAATCATCAAAAACTACAACCATATGAACTATTTAGTATATTGTATACCGGGCGTTTTTCAGAAGTAACTCCCCCTATAACTATTTTATTTTTATTTTACAGATAAAAAAAGGGATTTGGAATGTTATATGATTTAAAATGGGGCTTGATTGAAACAGGAAGTGACCGAAAACAATTGAATATGTCAATCAATCCTAATTTATGTCATATACTAACATACCAAATATCGTTTTTTTATCTGAAAAAATTAAAAAGTTATAGGGGTGAGCCACTTTTGAAAAATACCCAGTATTACCGCATAGAACGTGTTTTTCTGTAAAAAAAACTATTATAGACAATAATCTATAAAAAATTTAATAGAACCTTTACAAATGTCTGTAAAATATGAATGATCATATCAATATATTTTCTATTAGAATATGCTTTATAGCGAAGAGAACATTTTTGGGAAAGCTATTACATTATATTACATTACCAACTTCAAATTCAATGTTGAAATAAAATTTATCGCACCTATATGTCCTATTTTATTACTTTTTTATGGTATTACTACTAGTAAAAAGATAATATAGGGAACAATAATAGAAGAAATAAAATATTAACAGAGAAGTACGAAGACTTTATAAAATAACTATAAAAATTAATTTGAACAAATAAAAATTGGGTAAATCTAAATATTAATTTAATAACTGTCTTAATATGTAAAAAAATGTAGGATATTGTTAGTATAGTTTGGAAGACAAGAGTTACGGAGAGAATAAAAATATTACTCGACATTTAGTTACATTTGAAAAAAGTTTAGTTCATCTACTACAGAAATTCCTCTGATACAAATATCAAACATACAACTCTGTTCTTAAATAGAAACACTTCCTTTTATACTTCATAATCTTGAACCTATATAATATATTAAAAATGCAGTACTCACTTTTAACTTTCAACCACGTTGACATAGAACTTTCACCAGCTTTGTTCCTTGCAAAACACTGGTACATACCATTGTCCCCGATCATAATTTTCTTAAGGAGTAACGAGTTGTCTTCTTCCACAACAAATCTGGAAAAATAAATAAATTGTTAAGAAAGTCCCTTAAATTTGGGAATATTTTCCACTCTTCCAAAAGATGTAATTAACATTCAAAAAATCAAGACATTTCTAATTTTGCATATAGTTAATTATTAGTGATAAGCAAATAATGCAAGATCATGACTCCCTTGGTCTTGCAGTTAACAAATAGTCTTGTATTCGTCTACAAATAGCAAATATATGTTGTATTACCTTTTGTCACTTAAATCTAGCTCTTCAGTGTTTTTGTACCATGTCACGTTGGGTTTTGGAATTCCTAAAACATCACAAGGTAAGCTGAGTTGGGATCCATATTCTCCTAGCGTTTCTGGTCTAGCGTTACTGAAAAATCTCGGTTTTTCTAAAACAACAACCTGAAAAAAGAAGAATTTAAAATATTACATAAGAGATATTTTATCTCTGCCTGTAATATTTCTAAAATTTCACAATATCGCGCATATGATAATTTAACGGGTGTCACACACATATCGAGAGATAATATTTCTGTAAGTTAGTTTAACTATTTGGTCAGTTCCAACTTCTTCTCTGAATAAAAAACTAATAATTATAAAAAATATAATTTGTAGTGACATGTTTGATACGGTATTTCCCGGAAAGAATAATGCTTTCCATGAAGTTGTTGATTATAACTTTACTTTAATACGTTTAATCCAAGCTTAATCTTTATATTACTTCACAATGCAAATGTTAAAGTTTAGCCTTGATACGAATGTTCTGTTTTTTAATATTAAATTTGTTCGACGAAAGGTCAGATGGATATTTTGATAATTTTTGTACCGTTAAACAATAAATATGAATAAAATTAAAACTTCAATACCTCCTGTTTGAATAAAAAACCTCTTGTTTGATAAAATAGGATTAGGATGGATTGACGTATTAAATTGTTTTTGGTCACTTCCTGTTTCACCGGAAATTATACAATTTGTGTTTTTTAAATGGCATCCCCGGTATATTTTTACTTTATTCCATAGAAAATGACACTCTGAATAGAATGACACATCATAAGTCAACTTAAGACATTTTAGCTTGAAAAAAATCGTATTTTAGATTTGAGTGGTTGTGTTAAAAACACAAATTTTCTGGTTGAAAGATGCCCAAATCGTATTTTTAATCATATCTCGCACACTTGGTATTTCGAGTCAAATTGTCGTTATCAATCGCATATTACAATTAAATAAATCATATTCGAAAATGTCAAGTGTTGACATATGTCATTCTATTCAGAGTGTCATTTTCTATAGAACAAAGTAACAAAATACCGAGCGTGCCATTTAAAAATCAAAAGTTGTAGTCATTTCCGGTGAAACAGGAAGTGACGAAAAACAAATGGATACGTCAATCAATCCTAATTTATGTCATATACTAACATACCAGATCTCGTTTTTTTATCTCAAAAAAAATAGTCAGTCAGTTTTGAGACGTACCCGGTACAAGTCAAATTGTCGTGTTATGAACTGCATGTTACAATTCCAAATAAACCATATTATGCGAAAATGTCAAAAGTTGACATATGATATGTCATTCTATTGAGAGTGTTATTTTCTATCCAATAAAGTAGAAATACACCAAGGGTGCCATTTAAAAATCAAATGTTGTGGTCATTTTCGGTGAAACAGGAAGTGATAAAAACAATAATTGAATACGTCAATTAATCCTAATTTATGTCTATAGGGAAATTAAAATAACTATAGGGAAATTAAAATAACTTTGGTTGTACATCGTAATACGACCACCAGCTAGCTCCATAAGACGACGCATGGTGTCATTGATGACGTGCACCCAAAATTGTTTTAATTTCCCTATAACATACAAAATCTCGTTTTTCATCTAAAAAAAATAAATAAAAAAGGTATAGGGGTGACAATTGAGACGCACCCGGTATTTGCTTTTACAGTTATGTTGTAAATATGGGGAATATATTCTTTAATGAATTACACACTTATCTGCTTCAGATAATTTTCGCTTATTTTCAAAAAATAGGTAGTGCGGGATTGTCAAACATTTTTACATTCAAATGTTGATACTGCTGTTTTGGATTAACAATGTCGGATTGAAAAATTAACCTTGCCATTATGTAGGAGTGAAAAAGGGACAATATCAATCTGAACATTATTTTCATTTATCAATTCAATTAGTTCCAACATTTTAGAAAAACCTAAAGATTGAAAAACCGAATTGTTAGGAAAAAATAAATTTTACCTTTTACCTAAATAAATCATATTCGAAAATGTCAAGTGTTGACATATGTCATTCTATTCAGAGTGTCATTTTCTATAGAACAAAGTAATAAAATACCGAGCGTGCCATTTAAAAATCAAAAGTTGTAGTCATTTCCGGTGAAACAGGAAGTGACGAAAAACAAATGGATACGTCAATCAATCCTAATTTATGTCATATACTAACATACCAGTTTTCGTTTTTTTTATCTCAAAAAAATAGTCAGCCAGTTTTGCGACGTACCCGGTATGTTGCTGAGTCTAAAGCAATGAGAATGTCTTGTTGTGTATCACAAAAGACCTATTCTTAAAGGGGCCGAACACACAACGATATGATCTGCATGCCAAATCGCACAGGCCAGATCCTAAGTTCAAATCGCTAGCGGTCTTTTTACACTACACGTTGAGATTTTATAAAAGATAATTTCTTCAGTCTATAGTTCAGTACAGTTCCCGCCAAATCTGACCTGTGCAGTTAAAAATATTCAACATGTTGAAAGATCGCAGATCTCATCTCTTCCATAAAATCTTTATTGAAACCGTCACTATACGTTGAGATTTGGACTAAATCGAAGAACTGTACAGTTCAAACCTCTCAGATATCGATACGTGTACGGCCCTTTTTACACTAGGTCCAAATTTGTAGAAATTGTATTAAGATGAGTATTGAAAATTCACATTCTCAGGCTGAAGAGCAGTTTATAACTGAGAGAACTTGATGCTTTCAATTAGTAGTGGGAACTATCGAATGAATACTATCGAAACATTCGATAGTTGCAATTCATTCGAATAATTCGATAGTTAGTAAGAAAACATTCATTGAAAACTATTCGAATAAAAATTATCGAATAGATCCGTCATCTGAAGGACATATTGTATTCTAGTAATTCGGCAGCAAAAACCATTCATTTATAAAATTCATTCATTTATGAAATTCATTTATTCGTCAGGATCGATTATAATAAAATATTAACTGAATTTAGTTGTCGCCCGGCGACGTAGGTTTCTTTCCGAGAAAGCCGACAGCGGTCGGTGGCATTGCTATGAAAGAAGCCGGCATGTTTGATTTTTTGCGGAGTCAGATATAGATAAGGGCACATTATTTTTTTTATTGAGGTGCTAGTATTTACACAGAAAATACATTATGAAGGGCGCTGTTGCCATATTTTGGTATTAGTTTATATTAGCAAAGAATATTATTGTTTGGCTTTAGTTAGTTAGGGATAGTATGTCTATATATTCTGCATTTTTTTTTATTAATATTCTGTTGTTACACTGCAATAATACTTGTTATTTTGGATGTAGGAGAATGATTTTTAATGTTTTTAAGCAAAGACTGGTTTAATAAATAATAATAACAGTAATAATTTGTTATACCTATTAACAACAAAATTTAAAATCATTTAATATAAACATTTTTTTTAAGCAGTAGCAAAATATAAACAAGAAATTAGATGTCAAAATTATTTATATTAGATCCTATTTAAAAATAATATAGTCTCTAAATTTTTTGTGTATGTGGTAACGTTGGTTTATTAAATAATAATAATTACAGAACTAATTTGTTATATTAACAACAAATTTTAAAATCATGAAATATAAACATTTATTAATTTTCTAAGCATGCAGTGTAATGGAAGGAAAATGTAAATAAAAAATTAGAAATCAAAATTATTTATATTAGGTGCTTTATATTACTATTTAAAAATTATATTTACTTTTACTGGCATTTACTTTAAAAAATAAATGAAATATTTCTTCGCAAAAAACTACATGTAAGAGAATTAGCATAAACAAAATACAAACATCGTTAACTTTTTTTTTAAATTGGCACGTATAAAACTTTCAATTTAATTTTCTCACCCCATAGTTTGAGTTCGATAACCCCATTTACTTAACCACATTACTTAAATATGATTATTAAGTTCAACTAATTCATATTATTAAAACATCTAAAATACAAATATGTATTTTTAAAATTAATTGTAAGTTCATCTCATCTCTCTTAAAAATTGCTACTTCTCAAAATTTCTCATTAAAAAATAGACCATATAAAATTAAATAATTGAAAGTTCGGACTACGGAAAATCACACAAATTTTCGGAAAAATTTTGACCACCTGCACATGCACTCAATCGTCAATAAATAAAATTAAAAATAAATACTATTTTAGTATTTTAACTATTTTAATAAACGCAAAAATAGCACAGTATTTATACGGCGAAGTTATAAGAATTTGGAGAACTAATAATGCACTGACGCATACAAAAATCAAACGAATACTAAATTTCATTTATCAAAAGCATTCGATAGTCGTGGCTCAACGATAACCATTTAGTCGCACGGCGAGGTTGTCACATATGCTTTAGTATACAAATGAATGAATGATTTTATTCGAATAAAACCATTCGATAGTTGAAATCATTCATTCATTAACCATTCGATAGTCTAATTCATTCGATAGTTCCCATCGCTACTTTCAATAACAAACGAAAAAGTACAATCATTACCTGTGCTGCAGCTTTCACTGTAGGAAACCCTCCCGACCTCAAACTGACGCTACACTCGTACTGCCCACTGTGCGTCGTGTTGACAGACACAAGCGTCAAACTGCAATTCCACATGTCGTTCAGCGAGTACGATATCCCTGCACTCTCTATCGGTATCCCGTCCTTGAACCACAGGGTGTTGAGTTCGTAGAGAGGACGAGCATTGGCGATGCAGTCCAGAGTGGCCGAGGGGGATCCTTTGACGATTTGGAGGTCTTCGGGGCCGACGATGATCTCGGGGGCGATATCCTTGGACTCGCCGGTGTCGTAGGGTGGGTCATCGACGGTCAGTCTGATGAAGGCGCTGTTCTCCACTTTGCCTTCTTGGCTGTTGATGGCACGAGCTCTGTAATAGAAGGAAAATATCTTTAATGACCAAAGAAAATACATATTCTTAGTTTAGTAACTAGATGATGATCAACAGTGCTATAACATGTAACCGAAAGTTAGGATTTAATCATCAGTTAGGATCAAAGTTAGGATTTATTTAAATGTATTAAGCAGTAATGCTCTACTGCTATAATTTTAAAAGTAAAATTATCCGGGAATGACAATCGATGATAATTTTGGCGAGGTCAAGCGCTACATGTCATTAATGGCGCTTACTGCCAGTTGGCCTTAAGGTTTTAATTTTTTGGAAATAGATTTGTTCGTCTGGAAACGTTTTATCTTTTTTTAATCAATCTATAATTTTATTGTTAATGTTTGACAAGTTTTATGTCAATTTTTAGTAAATGACGTCTAGAAATTGAACTCGCCAAAATTACCATCCATTACCATTCCACAGCCTTCTTTGACGCCGTTTTTATTCGACCATATGGTATTTAGTATAGTATCATTTTACCTTCACTCGCTGAAAAAGGATCTCGCACCCTTGAATGCCTATTTTATGAAATGGAGACTTCAACCCAGTGTAAATAAAGCAGGAGTGGTTACATTCCATCTTAATAACAAGCTGACCAATACTGAAATAATTCCAGTTTGGTCACACCATTCTGCGTAATAACAAATATCCAAAATATCATTTCGAAAACACTTAGAAAATGTTGCTGGTAAAATCAGAACACGAAACAACATCACACAAAAACTTTGTGGTAATTCTTGCGGTTCAAAAGCAACAACACTTCAGATCTCTGCCCTTGGCCTGGTAGTGTGGAGGAGTATTGTGCACCAGTGTGGTTGAATAACCACCACATAAATTTCATAGACAGACAGCTGAACAACATGCGGCTGATTACAGAGACAATCAGATCTACAACTAGTTACTGGCTTCCAGTTCTGAGTTAACATTCTACCTACAAATCTACGTAGAAACGAGGCTCTTCTTAGAGAATTTGATAAAATAATAGCACCCCAACGATCCCTGTTCATGACACACTTCATGCTTTACAGGTGAATAGACTGAGGTTGAGAATCCGGCTTTTACTAACAGCTGAACAACTAAAGAGTAGTAACTACAATTCTCGAGAACAGTGTCTTCAATTATGGAGGGAAATGACTGATCGGCATCTGTACTCCTAGTTCGAGAATTAACTATTGCCAGATACCAGATATACCGACCTAAACCGGAAAACCTGGTCAACTTTGAATAGGATGCGCTCTGACTATGGAAGATGTGAGGATTCCCTTTATAAGTGGGGTAAAATAACTTCCTCAGAATGTGATTGCGGAGCCCTTCATCAAACCATCCATCACATAACTAGAGAGTGCAACCTACGTGCTTATGGTTTGGTTTGGTTTGGAGACTGGAGGGACTTTCTGGAGGTTTCTCAAGCAGTTTTGGAATGGATAGGGCATCTAGATGTTAATATATAGTGTTCGTAAAAACGTTGTCTTTTTATCATATACTTATTTTGTTTTTTATATTTACATTGTAATGTTTTCATTCACATTGTAGTTTATTGTATGTTTACGTTTAAGAGTCTAGTTTTCTTGCATGTATATGAGCCCCATATTTAAATATATAAATAAACCTTAACTTGTTAATTTCTTCTAATGTAACATAATTTTGAATTGATTGAATTCAATTGATGGACATTTGGACGGACAATGTTGAAAGACGGAGTAATTTGGTGATTGACGCACAAATCTTTAAGACGGACATCGTGTCTGGATACATCATAATGACGAACGTCTGGCTACTTTAGATGAAAATAATTTCCCCTTTGACAAACTAACCTACTTACAAAATTAATCATACAACAGTAAACGATGAATGAAAAATAAAGGAGTGAATCTTAAACCAATAGATTTTAAGTTTCTTTTATAACTTCAAATATATCGTTTAACTTAACGAACAAACACCACTAAATCCAATCCTACAACTCCAGACAGAAAAAATAAAAAGATCGAAATAACGAATAACCAAAGACAATCTGTACTCAATACTGTATGTGTCGTTAGATCAATTAAAAAGATAGGGGTTCTAAAATGAAAACTTCGTTTGTGTCGATTTTATTCATCGAATTTAGTGAGCCATGTCGGTTTTAATGACAAAAGCCCGACTTGAAAGCAATCAATACTTAATACTTGTAGTCCATTCAAAGAGAAATAAAACTAAAATGTCTTCGTCAGGAAGATAAAATATATCCTTCCCGTCGTTAAAAATATATCGCTATAACAGGATTCTTCCAATAAATTTTGGAAATCCGACATTTTTAAGTAAGTTATCAATAACTGTGAAAAAAAAATTGGCAATATGTATTTTGGTAATAACTCTTAAAAATATATGTTTGAAGTAAAAAGCAAGTGGTTTCCAATATCACGGAGACAAGTTAAAAGTAGAAGAAAAATAAATCACAGTCTCGGTCTCAACATTATTTATATCGGTCTTAACATTATTTATATTAAATTAAACTTTGACACGTGTTTCGCTCATACGAGCATCACCAGACCTAACAGGAAAGAACCCAAATAAATAATTAATAATAAAAAGGTCGTCGTAACTACAAATATACAATTAAGGTTACACCACACACGTTCATATTTTACATATTAAAACAACACTGACATGAGGTTGAAATGATATTTATACCAAAATAGCAAATATTTGTCAATAAAAAATTAGCGCCGGGAGGCACGTATAAGCCGCCTATACTAAAATATGTGAATAAAAAGTTGGTAGGCAGTTCTTTTAGTTTCATAGTAAACAGGGGCGGATAGAGAAATGTATTTTAGGGGGGGGCAGGAATATATCTTAGGGGGGCAAATAAAGGTAATGTAGAATATGTTTTTTAGAGCGCCATTTTTAACCCAAAAGCCTAATATTTTTAACCCAATTTATAGATATTGGGGGGCTTGGTCTCATGCCCCCCCTCTGTATCCGCCACTGAAAGTAAAGGAATTTTTCCAATTTTGGTCCGCGGTTATTTCCCCTATCCGCCACCTGGGGTCGCGTCCGATGGGAGTTTGGAGTTCTCCACACAGATTTTCTCAAAACGGACTACGGAAACATGGAATATCTCAAAAACTGCGACTTTGACTGATTTTGATGTTATTACAAATTCTGTTGCAAATATTATTCCTAATGAAAACCGCGTTTCGCTAGCTACTGTAATTTTGGAGTTACGATTTTTAAAATTTTTAACCCCCTCCCATACCCCCCTTACCAACCCCCACCCCACCAAAAACTAATGGCCAGATTCTCAGGTGCCACAGTATTTTGTGCCAAATTTGGTTAAAATCGGTTTAGCGGTTTTTGAGTTATCGTGTTACAGACGGACAGACAGACAGACAGATACATACCATGAAAATATTTTGTATTTAGGTCATTTATGACCCAAATAACTCATTTTGAGAGAAATTAAAAAAAAATTGCCGATCTCAATAGCCTACCATACCTGTTGGTATGGTCGGCTAAAACAACCAGGAACAAAAAATAAAATAATGTGGTGGGAATTAGAGACTAAAAACACTAAGCCATCACACTGTTGGAATAATAATTTCAAAGTGAACAATAATAACCGCAGAATTGAAAAGTGGAAATACAAAAGGGGTAATTGGCAAAATTATTTTTTCGAGATAAATGAAAAAAACACAATAGGACTGAAACTAATAAATTTTAAAATATCTTTTAAAATACACATTATATACATAAACAATAGACGTTTTCGCTTGGCACTTGTAACTTTTGTTAGGACATGTAGCATAGTATTTATTACGTTTCTAATGTAACAACTTAAGGGGGGCTAATAAAAGGTAATGTAGAATATGTTTTTTAGAGCGCCATTTTTAACCCAAAAGCCTAATATTTAACCCAATTTGTAGATATTAGGGGGGGGGGGGCTTGGTTTTTTTAAGGTTGGCTTAAAATTAAACACGTTATTTACACAGACAAGGACAGGACTTTTTTACCTCTAGTTATTTCCAGTCTCTCTAGAAGATCAAGTTTTTTACTTTTTTGACACTCGTGCACAACACTGACATTTTTCTGAGATGGAAAAATCATGACCTGTGGTCAATAAGTGATTCGCAAAAGCGGACTTAATTTCAGTTATATCAGAGTTTGTATATTTATTGAAAGGGCTCAGATATTTCTGTACTCGGAAGGAAATCTTTCTACCTGACTGCCCCACATAGACCGCTTGACATTCAAATCTCCACAATTCAAGGAATTTCCTCTCCGTTTTGTCCTTATTCTTAACCAAATGCGCTTTTAATGTATTAATAGCCTTGAGCACTGTCAATACAAATATAAAAATTCAAATTGTTTCACTGAATGTTTCCTCATATTCTCCACAGAATCTGCATTCGCCGTTGTTTCTTAGTTTCAATTAAAAATCACTGAGATGTTCGTTAAGGAGACAGTATCCTATAAAAATCCCGTGACAATTCGAAGATTGTTCTTACTTAAATCAAGGAAAACGTGTTTAATTTTTCTCGGTCTTAAGTTCTGAGAGATTTCTTCGAGTGTTTTGGACCGTTGGAGGATTTCCATTCCAGATTCATGAGTTCTGATTTAAGTTGATTTCCACTTTAGGCCAGTCAGCGAGGATAAAAATAGGGTATTAGCTCCGAATTCTTGACACTCGCACTGATTGACGTGAAATTTTAACAGTGAATAGAGATATATTTGTAAAATTGTGCCCAAAGTAGCTAATATCTATTGGTTTTGTGATAATTGTGAGACAATTGTAAATAAAAATCTACCTAAATTAAATGCAGTACCGGATAGTACGCATGTCGATATACGTCTATGCGAAAAAGAAATCGAATGCTTAAAGAGAGAGAAGATACTAACTGACCGTCTACTTCAAGAAATGGAACAGTCCAATGACCTCCTGAAATAAAAAATAGAATGCAAGATAAGAAGAATTCCGAAGCAGGCCAAGTTTTTTTGCCGACGAT